TGAGACAGGGTCTCCCTGTAGACCCAGCTGGCCTGGAAATCCCTTTGTAAACCAGGCTGGACTTGAACTCACAGAAATCCGCCTGCCCTCTGCCTCCCAAGTACTGAGATTAACATAGGGTCGAAAATTGAGATCTCAACATAAGAATATACGTTTAAATGCTGGATTCCTAACATACATCATATATTTCGAATGGGAAATTAACGGTGAATATAGAGTTTGCTTATTGTATTAATGCTTACAATTATAACTGTGGATGTCTGCTAAAATATATGTTCTGATTCAATGCAATCTAGAAAGAAGCATTCTTTGTGTGACTATTTCTAACAAGCTCTCTAGGTATGGCAAGTCTCCAGGTCCAAATGCCACTCCCTTACATACAGAAAAGTAGAACAAGGAAGTCAAAATGCAGGGATGAATATTCACTAGAACAGCATTGCTTTCTCCACAACAAGAGGAGAAACGAAACATTGACTTGAAATAATTGCTGTACACTGGAGGTCACTCTGCCATATTTGGGAACATCAGCGCATTAATTCAAATAGTCTAGTCTACTTGATTATTTTTATGACAATATTTCGGAAGCCATAAAATTGCTGATAAAAATCAGGATTCATCTTTGTTCATATGGTCTTAAATTTAGCTGAATGCAACAACCTTAAATAATGTAAATCGAAGAGGATGCATAGCCAAGGTATCCAAATATCTGCAGCGGAATTTTGAGACCTGTGCTCCTTGCTGTAGATGAGCAAGAACAAAGGTTAAATCCCTGGTGAGTTTCCTGGACCTGCCTCTGACTGCAGAGGGTCCCGGGCCACTCCGATCACATGACCAGGAGCCTTTCCCGTGGCTTCAGGTTCCATCCACACTCTCCTCCCATCTCCCGGCCCCTCCCGGACCCGCCCCACATCCGCTCTGCACCCACCGCTCCGGGTGGTTCCAGTGGCTGGGGTGAACGTTCGATCCAACTGAAACCGGTCAGGGCTCACCCTCTGCCTGTTCAGCACCACGCTGCACCCAAGTGGAGTGCTCCCTAGGTCCGTGCAGAGTTTTCATGACCCTGGTGTTCCGATAGTCGGGCTAGAAGATGGCGTGTCTCTGTCTCTGCTCTGGCCCCGCCCACTCCGGCCCAGGTTTTACCAGGAAATGGATGTCTCAGGAAGTGTCACAGGAAGCCCCATTGTTGACTAACCAGGGCCTGAATTCTTCCTGCAGCGTCCGTCAGTCACCACTAGAGGGCTGTCTTGCCATTTTCCTAATTTGCCTGGCAGAAATCACAGAAGTGCTTTTAGGTAAAGCACAGAGAATTCCTATTTAAAAACTCATAGAAAGGAATATGCAGGAATTTTAGGAGAGCATTAAAAGGAAAAGCCTGCAAATTATGGACAGAGAAGAAAGGGAAGAACTCCAGGACAAAGGAATGAATAACATTTTAAATTCAATCACACTAGAATGTCTCCCAAATCTACAGAGAAAGTTATCCAACAAGTACGTGAAGCCAACAGAACATCAAACACAGAGGACCAGAAAAGAAATGTTCCGGGTCTGAAGAATTCCCTGAATTGATCACTTGGATACTGAGTCTCAGTAAAAACACAAGTGCTTTATTGGAGCCAATGGGCTGGGGACACAGTCTCGGGAGCTGTACTGTGACCCCAAGCTGTGAAAACACAGGGCTTTTAAGCATTGAAACCACAAAAACCACAAAGCAGGGGATTTCTATAGAAACCATAACCAGAAGAACCAGGAAAGAATTTGAACAATCTAGGGCTGAGTTCCAGAGCCTTAACCTATACAGCCATTGGCTAGCTTACCAGGGGCAGACCATTCTTCCTCTTCTGCCCTGGATTGTTTCTATAGAAACCATAAACAGATGTGCCAGGAAAGAGTTTGAACAATGGAGGGGATTTCCAGAGTCAGGTGGAGGGCAGCTCTTTCTCAAAGGACAGGGAGGGGGGTGAGGGGCACTCTCCTTCAAAAACGTTCCATGGCACATCAAAGTGATAACATTAAAGACAGGTACTAAACAAAGGCACGTAACTTTGCAAGAGAAAAGACCAAGTCCCCATAAACACAGACCCATCACAATAACAGAAGATTCTTCAATGGAAACTTTTAAAGTTGGAAGGGCTTAGGAAGTTTTTTGATTTTTTGATTTTTTTTTTTTTTTGTCTTTTTTGAGACAGGGTCTCCCTGTAGCCCCAGCTGTCCTGGAACTCACTACGTAGAGCAGGCCGGTCTTGAACTCACAGAGATCCGCCTGCCTCTGCCTCCTGAGTGCTGGGATTAAAGGCATGCACCACAACTGCCAACACTGACTGTTACACATCACAAAACTACTGAAAGAAAAGTAACGGCTTTTCATGACAGAGACTAAAGGAATATATGACCACTATGCCAGCTCTACAGAAGATATTGGAAGGAATACTAGGAACAGAAGACAGGGATTAACACAAGCAAATGTCACAGGTGAAAAAGAATGCCAAAATTATTCATCAAAAAGACCTAAGAAAACAAAACAAAAATCAACAAAAGGACAGGAGTTAATACAAAATAACTCTGAATATTAATGGTCACAAATCCTTGCAGTAAAAGGGCACAGAGTAGCAGATTGGATTAGGGAAGAGGAGCCATCTTCCAGCTGCCTCGAAGAAACACGTGTTGCCAGCAAAGAGAGACACCACCTCAGGGTAAAAGGATGGAAAAAGCTGCTCCATCATGGAACTAGGAAACAAGCAGACATATCTACTCAAATAACACACAAGATAGATTTGAAACTGAATTGATGAACAATGACACTGCACCCTCATTAAGAGAACAACTGAAAGGAGGATACTACAATCCTCAGGATGTACACACCCAAGACAGATTCTCCAGTTTATAAAAACAAATAGAACTAGATGAAAAGCCACAAATTAACCCCAACACATTAATAGTGGGAGATTTCAATACTTTACTATCGCCAAGAGACAGGTCATCTCGAAAATGAACAGAAACATTGGAGTTGGATGAATCTATAAATCAAATGCAACAAACAGACATCTACAGGACATTACACTCAAAATGATACCAATTCTCAGCAGTCCATGAAACCTTCTCCAAAATAGACCCCAAGACTGAAAGCAGAGCAGGCCTCAAGAAATTGAGGATCATTGACCTGCATAGACTTTCTATGTATCACTGTCATGTATAGAGAAAAAAAGTCAGGACAACAATCTCATTTAAAATGGCCACACCAAAAATAAAATACCTAAGCATAAAACTAACAAAGGAAATGAAAGGCATTCACACTGACAGCATTAAGACTGTGAACAAAGAAATGAAGAAAATGCCAGAAGATAAAAAGACTATCCAACATCAATGATTGGAAGAATTAATCTTGTGCCCATGGTCATCCTACCAAAAGCAATCTAGTTTCATTCCCATGTGAATCCAAATTCTAGGGCCAGAGCTGGAGAGATGGCTCAGTAGTTACAAGCACTGGTTGCTCCTCCAAAGGTCCAGGGTTCAGTTCCCAGCACTCACAGGGCTGCTAAGAGCCATCCATAACTTAAGTTCCAGGGAATTTAACACTCAGGCACTACACAGGCACTACATGCATGGGTACATTAACATACATGCAGACAAATTACGCATGAAATGAAGTAAACAAATACATAAATTTAAAATAATGTTCCAAGGCCATTCCTCACAGATATGGAAAGGCAATGTTGAACTTTATATGGAGGTGGCTAAAGAGATTGCTAAGTGGATAAGAGCACTGGCTGTTCTTTCAGAAGACCTGGGTTCTAATCTAGCTCCAACATGGCAAATAACAACCATCCACTTCCAGGGGATCTGATGTCCTTTTCTGTCCTCCCCAGGCATTATATGACATGAGTGCACTTACATACACATATGAAATACACATAAAATAAAAACATGCAAGCTGCTAAGGGACAAAAATCAATCAATGGTCCAATCCTAGCTGTAAAGCGTAATAAGCACAGCAATGATCCACACAGCAAAATTTAGTGGTGTCCAGTAATCAATAGGCATCTAACTGGACATAAAACCTCCTCAAAGGAAGGGGACTCTGGTGTGGCACTGTATACACACCCAAATACACATGGGTGGAGCAGTCACAGACCCTAGAGAAAACCCTTCATCTGTCACATCCCTGGACAAACATAATTCTTACTATATTTCATAAATGGACTCATATTTGTTGATAAGTATATCAGCCACACTCAGCAAAGAAGCTTCTTTTGCAACAAAGAGTCTAGAGTTCAACAACTGGCCACACACAGAGAATCCATGTCTGTGAGATGACCAAACCTGTTTGAGCTAGAGATATAGGCACTTGCTAATAACTCTACAATGGAACCTCTACACCTAAGCCTTGTGGAACATAATGGAACAAGGGTAAAGAGAATACCAATGCACCTCTCAACTCTTATCACAGCTGTTTTCTCAAGCAACAGAGGACGAAGAACACAGAAGACCACAACGGGCCAAAGAAAGACAATAAGAGACTGCAGTGTGTGTCCGTGGACAGGACTCCTGTATTAACTCCTCATCCAAAAAGGCATCAAAGACCATCGCAGAAGCTGGGGCAGAAAAACTGTAAGAGCAAGGGGTATGCATGACCATAAGGAATCAGGGTCTTACAGGCTCCTGGGAATTTGCACATATGAATTCACAGCAATGGGGACAGCATGCACAAGATTCCGCAGATAAAAACCTGGCACAGAACTGGGGAAACGAAGGGGAGGCCCAGACCTTAGGTGAGGAGCCATGGCAGCTGATGACCGCTGGTTGTGGGAGAGTAGATCTTCCTTAAGGAAGTGAGACTAGACAGGTTGAATAGGCACCCCTGGATGAACTCACACCACGAGAGGTGCAGTTACATACACCTGACTTGAAAGTCCTTAGCATACAAGACAGAATGGGTAAAATCCTGTGGGCAGGTGTCCTGGTTTGTTTCTTCATTTCTGTGACAAAACACTCTGACTACTACCAACTTGGGGAGGAAAGGGTTTATTCAGCTTACATCTCCCAGGTCACAGTTCATCAGGGAGCCCAAGGTAGGAACTCAGGGCAGGAACCTGGAGGCAGGAGCTGGAGCACAGGCCATTGAGGAACACTGCTTACTGGCTTGTTCCCCTGGTTCCTGCTCACCCTGCTTTCTTAAGCAACATAGGCCCACCAGCCCGGGGGTGGCACCACCCACAGTGGCCTGGGCCCTCCCACATCACTCATCAAGAAGATGCCCCTCAGACATGGCCACAGGCCAGTCCAATAGAGGAAATCCCCCAATTGATGCTCCCTCAACCCAGGTGTGTCAAGTTGACACTAAAGCTATCCAGCACAATTGACCCCTTGTCAACTTGACACACAAACATCCCTATTAAACCATAAACTTTCCAATTTTTGTCCCCAAGATATGATGTTAATATCACAACATAAGACAGTACAACCTTAAAAACCCCACAGTCCTTTAAAAAATCCAAACACTTTAAAGTTCATAGTCTCTTTTAAAAGTCTCTCCTGTGGGTGGGCTTCTGTAAAATCCAAAACAAGTACTGTCTTATTTCAAAGGGAAGAATCGGGCACACCTAAGCAAAACCAAAGTCCAGCAAAGTAGCTTGAGACTGGACATCGGTCTGGGATTCACGCATGATCTTCTGGACTCCAAAGGGTACTGGCAGCTCTGACTCTGCAGTGCACAGCACACTCAGCTCATCTCGCAGACCCAGGCCAGCTCCATTCCACACCTACTGCTGTCCTTGGTGGTCGTCCCATGGTCCCAGCATCTCCAAAAAGCTGGCGTCTCCACTGAAACTAAGGCTACACCTTCCCCAATGGCCTCTTCTTGCCTCTTGGGGTGCAAAGGCCTTTGATTCTCTCCATGACCCCTTCAATCCTGGGGTCTTCACTGCAATTGAAGCTGCACTTTCACCTATGGCCTTTCCTGGCCTCTCAGAGTGCCAAGCCTCAGCTGCTCTCTGTGACCCCTTCACGCTTTCAACACCAGAGCCAGGCAGGAAACTCTTACACATTACCAAGTCCTGCTTCCAGCTAGAGATGGAGGTTCGGGTCCCCTCTGTGTGCTGACTCTGAGGAAATACCTCCCAGAAGATTTCACCACAGTGATGCTGGTCTCTTGTTACTTACAGCGTATCTTGCAGCCCCAGCTAACCAGCATCAATTGTCCCAGCAAAGCAAAGGCCTTACTTCAGGTTCTGGTCTCTTCTTAATCACAGCTGGTTCTTCAGCCCCACCCAACCAGAACCCACAGATTCTCAATACAAAACATCACACAAACAGCCCTGATAGTCTCCACTTCCCTTTGAAGCTTCATAAGCCAGGCCTCCACTGTTCACAGCTCTTTTGGTATAACTGTTCCAAGGTCCACAGCAACAAATTCTGAGCACTCAATGGCTTTTCCAGCCCAAAGTTCCAAACTCTTCCACAGTCCTCCCAAAAACACCAAGGTCAGGTCTGTCACAGCAATTCCCCACCCTCTGGTACCAATTTCTGTCCTGGTTTGTTTCTTTACTGCTGTGACAAA